GAGGGTGAAAGGGATAATTCGGTACATGTGTGTGGTGATGGGTTGTAATTAGTATTTTGGTGGTGAACATGATGTAGTCCATGTAGAAATAGAAGTACAATGATGTACACCTGAAATTTTTGCAATGTTATAAACCAATGTTACTGCAATAAACAAAAAATTAAAAAAAAAAAAAAAGATCTACTCTCTTTGCAAATTTCAAGTATAAAATACAGTATTATACGGATGTCCGGAACTTATTCACCCTGCATAACTCTTGGACCAACATCTCCCTATTTCCTTTACCCTCCAGCCCCAGACAACCACCATTCTACTCTTTGCTTTAACGAATTTGACTTTTTTAGATTCCACGTATAAGTGAGATCACGTAGTATTTGTCTTTCTGTGTCTGACTTATTTCACTTGGCATAATGTCCTTCAGGTTCATGTACGTTGTTGCAAATGGCAGGATCTCCTTCTTTTTTAAGCCTGAATAATAGTCCATTGTCTATAATATACCCCACTTTTTTTTTTTTTTTGTGAGGAAGATCAGCCCTGAGCTAAGATCCATGCCAATCCTCCTCTTTTTGCGGAGGAAGACTGGCCGTGCACTAACATCTGTGCCTATCTTCCTCCTATACCCCACTTTCTTTATCCACTTATCCATCAATGGACACTTAGGTCATTTCCCTATCTTGGCTATCGTGAATAATGTTGCAATGAACATGGGAGTACAGATATCTTTTTGAGATACTGATTTCATTTCCTTTGGATATATACCCAGAAGTGAGATTGATGGCTCACAGGGTAGTTGTATTTTTAATTTTTGAGGAAACTCCATACTGTTTTCCATAGTGGCTGTAACAGTTTACATTCCCACCAATAGTATACAAGAGTCCCCTTTTCTCCACATCCTTGCCTATGCTTGTTATCTTTTGTCTTTTTGATAACAGTCATTTTAACAGGTGTAAGATGATATCTCATTGTGGTTTTGATTTGTATTTCCCTGATGATCAGTGATGTTGAGCATGTTTTCATGTACCTGTTGGCCAACTGAATAGCTTCTTTGGAAAAATGTCTTTTCAGATCCTTTGCCCATTTTAAAATTAGATTATTTGTTTTTTTGCTATTGAGTTGTAGGAGTTCCTACATATTTTGGATATTAACTCCTTATCAAATATGTGGTTTGCAAATATTGTCTCCCATTCTGTAGTTTGCCTTTTCATTTTGTTCTTTGTTTCTTTTGCTGTGCAGAGATTTTTTGGTTTGATGTAGTTTCACTTGTTTACTTTTGCTTTTGTTGCTTGCGCTTTTAGCGTCATATTCATTAAGCCACTGCCAAGGCCAAAGTTAAGAAACTTTTTCCCTACATTTTCTTCTAGGAGTTATGTTTCAGGTCTTATATTAAATCTTTATTCCATTTCAGGTTAATTTTTGTGAGTGGTGTAAGATAGTTTCATTCTTCTGCATGTGAATATCTAGTTTTTCCAACACTATTGAAGAGATTATCTTTTCCTCATTGAGTATTTTTGGTTCCCCTGTCAAATACTAGTTGACCACATATGCATGGATTTATTTCTGAGCCCTCAATTCTGTTCCATTGGTCTAAAGGTGTGTGTTTTTATGCCACTATTACACTGTTTTCATTACTATAGCTTTGTAATATAGTTTGAAATTAGGAAGTGTGATGCTTCCAGTTTTGTACTTATTTCTCAGGATTGCTTTGGCTACTTCGGGTCTTTTGTTGTTCTATATAAATTTTAAGATTGTTTTTTCTATTTCCGTGAAAAATGCCATTAGAATCTTGATGGGGATGCCTTGAATCTATAGATGGCTTTGGGTAGTATGGACGTTTTAAAAATATTAATTTTTCTGATCCATGAACACAGGATATCTTTCCATTTATTTGTGTCTTCTTCAATTTCTTTCATCAGTGTTTTATAGTTTTCAGTGTACTGATCTCCTATCTCCTTTTTTTTTTTTTTTTGTGAGGAAGATCAGCCCTGAGCTAACATCCATGCTAATCCTCCTCTTTTTGCTGAGGAAGACCTACTCTGAGCTAACATCTATTGCCAATCCTCCTCCCTTTTTTCCCCAAAGCCCCAGTAGATAGTTGTATGTCATAGTTGCACATCCTTCTAGTTGCTGTATGTGGGACGCGGCCTCAGCATGGCCGGGGAAGCAGTGCGTCGGTGCGCGCCCAGATCAGAACCCAGGCTGCCAGTAGCGGAGCGCGCACACTTAACAGCTAAGCCACGGGGCTGGCCCTCCTATCTCCTTAATTAAATTTATTCCTAAGTACTTTATTCTTCCTGATGCTATTGTAAATGTGATTTTTTTCTTTATTTTTCAGATAATCAATTGTTAGTATATAGCAATGAAACTGACTTTTGTACATTGATTTTGTATCTTGCAACATTAATGAATTATTTTATTAGTTCTATCTAGTTTTTTTGTGGAGTGTTTAGTATTTTCTACATAAAAGATCATGCCGTTTGCAAAGAGAGACAATTTTACTTTCCTTTCTGGTTTGGATACCTTTTATTTCTTTTCCTTGCCTGATTACTCTGTCTGGGACTTCCAGTACTATGTTGAGTAGGAGTGGTTAGAGTGGACACTCTGGTCTCATTCCTGGTCTTAGAGAAAAAGCTTTCAATTTTTCACCGTTGAGTATGACGTCAGCTGTGGGCTTGACATATTATTATGTTGAGGTATGTTTCTTCTATACCCAATTTGTTGAAATTTTTTTGTATCATGAATGGATGTTGAATTTCATCAGATGCTTTTTCTGTATTTATTGACATGATCATACGATTTGTATCTTTTACTCTACTAATGTGATGTATCACATTTATTGATTTGCGTATGTTGAACCATTCTTGCATCCCAGGGATGAATCTCACTTGATCAACCACGATCCTTTTAATGAATTCAGTTTGCTAGTATGTTTTTG